GATCGTGCTGTTATTTATCTTGGACGAGCTGAATGCTGCGTGCTCCATTACTGAAATTACGAAAGCGAGATATCGTTTCAATAACGATATCTCCTCCTACTCTTCCTTATTGTATCCTTGGCCGGACCGTCTTGTATGAAAAGCGTTGACCGATTAAGGGTCGTTCACGTAGGTACGAGCACGTGCACCGAGGAAAAAGGTCTCACGTACTCTTATCTCCCTCTTCGATTCTTGCATCGTAATTTTTAAACTTATCGACATTTTGGACCTCGCACGTGGCGAGATTACCTCGACACATTTGTTCACAGGTGAAATTTTATTATCAGATGATACCACGCTAGGAATTATTCAATACTGTAGACATTTATTCGTTTTATATTGTTTGTGTGACCTGTTAATAATTGTAGTTATTCCTTGAAGTGTGAACGGAGTAGGGGTGTCATGTTTTTGTTGAAAATTCATTGCTGTAAAGTTTTAATTTTCTCTCTGTATATTACTTGAAATGATAAGAACTTTGTAATTTAATTTAATGTTTAAAAATTGTTCCATTAATGTATATTTTCTAAAGTTTCTACAATATTAAAATTAAGTTTCATTAGTAACCTCATCACCAAAATATGTAAGAGCGTCAATTTTTACTTGAATCACCCCTTGAATTGAGGGTAATTTGATCAAGTCCAAATATTCATTAATTTAATTCAAACGGTCGTCAATCTACTGTCGGTCCACGACAACAAAAAGTGGCCGGAGGGGTGGCAATTTTAATTCGAGGCGCGCGAATCGGTGGTCGAGCAATTTATTTATTGGAGAAAGTGCTCGAGGGCCGGTCGCGGTTCTTCGGTTCGCCTGTCCTAAGCAGGATTCAATTTGGCCACTGCCCACGATTCCACCTTCAAAGAGGAATCACCGTCGCGTGTGTAGACGAGCCTCCCTCGACGTGCACCGGTCACCGGCCTTCGCTATTAATCTTATATCGAACGCTTTATCCGCGTCCGCTTTCTTCCTCTTCCTCGTGGTCCTCTTCAACCCTTGGACGAGCTGGAATTTTCAATTCTTTCGAGTACCGCGGGAAAAAGCGGATTGCCCCCGGGGCCACTCGCATACACGTACAACTAGATTCTCGTATTCGATTCGACGAACAAAATTTCCTCTTCCGTTCTGCGCACGTGATGCTTCGATTGCCTTTCTACAATTTTCTATCTTTACATTTCTACGCTTTTAATACGCGAATTCGCTAAATTCTTCCGTTTCAACATCTATGACTTCTTAACGTAGAAATTCGAGCTGCAATTTGTAGCTAAATATGCAACGTGTGGAACATGTTAAATGTATTATGCTGTTTTCGTTCATTTATTATAAATCATCTATTAACCCTTTGCACTCGAAGATAATTTTACTGTTTGCAAACAGCAACTTTAAAATATTAATTAAAATGTTAAATGACTTCTTTTGAAGTTATTATTTCTCTACTAATAAATTCCACTATTGTCTATTTCACTATGTTTATACATCACATAAGCACTATTATAGAATTAATTAAATAATGCTTCTTTTAAATTATTGTATTAAATCGAATGGCACCTCTCGAGCGGAAAGGGTTAAAATTTCCTGCAAGAATACGAATTTTAGAAGAAATGCTTTTCTAGAATTATTGTCTAGAAATTGATGAAACTTTAACCTTAAATTAATCTTCGTCCCAAAACATTCTCTCTATCTCTACAAATGAAGAGTCACAAAATAAAATTGAAAAGTAGCTAAATTTTCAGTGAGGGATGTTTTTAATTACTTTTAAAATTCCTAAGTAGCCACATGTCCTTAAGTTGCTTAATGAAGGACTAAAAATTAAACTAATAGAAAAATCGTTCTATCAAAGAGTTGCGAAATTTGTAAAAGGAATAGATCAGTCATTGTCGATGGAAGAACAGTGAACAGGAAGATCGTTGCATCGAGGTCGATTAATCGCGCGCGGAAATGGAAGAACGTGGAAACGAGTGGTCTTCTGGCAGGACATTGGCCAGGACGAATAAGTAATGTAGAGGTCCATTATGCTGAAACGGTGAAGGGTCTCGAAGCAGGGTCAGCCAATCCCCTGGAGGGCCGTTAAAGTGAAATACTTCTGAATGCAAGGTGGCTGACCGCTTCTCACCCCCTTTCCTCGACCGCCCTTTTTCTGTTCCTTTCCCTCTTTCTTCTACTGTATGTTCTCCGGTTGGACCCTCCAAAATACTGATCCTAGGCGTCCATAGGTAAATCGTTGTTATCTGGACAGTGATAAACCCGTGAATGGAGTTCGCGCCTGCTTGGCCGAATGAGCTAGGGGAATGCAAAGGGAGACCGCCCTAGCCGGGACATCGATGGATCGCCAAATGGATGATCCTGTTTATGTGGACCGGTCGCTGGGATTTCGAGAGCTCATTTTTGTAACTTTCGCTGGAAACGAGAGCTGATTTTTCTGCTGGACAAGGGAACATTGATTCTCTATTTTTATTTATTCTTCGGAAATTGAGTATCAAGTCTGTAGTTACTTCTTTTTTCTTTTAAGTCTGTGGTTACATTTTTTAAATCAAATTTTTACCTTTCTTCTTGCAGATTTTTCTGTTGGAAAAGGGAATATTGATTCTCCATTTTTATTTATCCTTTGAAAATCTTCGAATATCAAGTCTGTTATATCTTTTTTCTTTTAAGTCTGTGGTTACATTTTTTAAGTCTGTAGTTACATTTTTTAAGTCTATAGTTACATTTTTTAAATCAAATTTTTACCTTTCTTCTTGCAGATTTTTCTGTTGGAGAAGGGAATATTGATTCACTATTTTAATTTATTCTTCGAGAATCTTCAAATACCAAGTCTGTAGTTACATCTTTTCTTTTAAATCTGTACTTACACTTTTACTTTCAAAGTCAAATTTTTTCCCAATTTTTATCTTCTCACAGCTAAAGTCAGTCCATGTTGAACAGCAAATTGTAATTAACATTCGATGCAATAAATAACGATAAGATAGATAAGCTAAACGAAAAACACTAAATCTTTATCGCAGAACACGAAGTTCTTTATCGAAACTAATGCAAGTATTTGCTCCAATGATAAGTTGTACTTCCGGTCGCAATATTGACGCGAGGGTTGCTAACCCGCGGCGTGTCTTCGGGTCACGATTCCAGCTCCTTTAATCTCGTGGTGTTTGCATGCTCCCCCACGAAGACAAACCACCCCTCGCAGGCAAAGAAATGGCGTCTTTGGGTTCACCTCGTGGAAAATTCAATTACTCGAACTCGCGGGATTAGCTCGAAATTTAACGGGTCGATAATGAATCAGCGTATTGAATCAACCGATTGAGTCATCGTGTATCGAATATGTCGTTGCTTGCTCGCGATAAGACCGTTTCCGGTCTCCAGAGATTATTGTAGACGTTGTGTCATTATACTAATATTCGAAATATGTTCTAATTTTTGGGAACAAAAATTTAACTGTACTTTGACGATTCTGACTGTTGAAATTATTACAGAAATTTTTTATCTGCATTTGAAGTTTGAATACTTCATCAAAACTTCATGGAGTTTGAATTAATTGTAAGGATCACTTTAAATTATTTGAAGGATCACTGAATACGAAATTGATATTTAATATTAATGACGTTTTAACATTTAAACTTTAGTTATTTGTTTTAACATTGTAGATATAGTTTGGATAAATTGTACAAGGGGTGAAAAGGTATTTTTAATATTGTAGATATGAATTGTACAGAGGGTTAAAAGATGTCTAAAACATGGCTAAATATCTCAGCAATTATCCCAATTGCAATTACTTTAACCCGGGTTTGTGAATTACCCCTATAGTTATCTGGCAGCAGCCAAAGAATAAAGGCTTACTATTACCAGCACTATTAATTACGATGGTAATGAAAATGGCTCGAGCGGATTGTTCCAAGTAATCCTGAATAATTACCTGCCGTTTCTAATTCGTTCTTTATTGTCTGTTAATTATTATCCACTCGGAGTGCATAGGATGATAATTAAGGTTAATGCGACGTTAAAGGAATCTGGCGAATTCGCCGGCTGAAAGCATGAGTCCGGGCTATTTCTGCCATCGGAAAGAAAGAAGTTGGCATACGGAAGAATGGAGGGTGGTCCACCGGTCGAACCGAGGTCAGCGGCCATTCCCTGATGATATTGATTAGCCGACGCCCTTAGTTAGCGCCAGCTACACTTTCTTCTCGAACGAGTCTCTCCTCTCACCCTCCGAGTCCTCGCCACCCTCTTCCCTTTATCTCCGTTTTCTCGTTAGCGGAAGACAGAGGAGATGGAAACAGACGGACCTAAGTCGAGTAAATCATTCATCGGGCAAATAATGCGCGGGGTGAGTCACGTATGCGGGGCTCTGATATTTGCGTGGACCCGGCACGTACGGGGATGAAATCTTCGTTTCCGCTGAGATTCCATGCGACGAAAAGAAAAGCTCTTTGCCTCGAAATAGATTGAATCGGTCTTGCGATGTATGCCTCGGGAAGATTAAAACGAGGTACTTAAATTTGTCAGAGAATTCTCGGAGAACAAAATTAATATATTTTGTACGAAAGTTCTAATATTCCGAAACATTCGATACACCCGGAGGGAAACCGGTGTAATTAGACACTGCAGGCTGGAACAACATCCAGAGGCCGTCATTGTTCCCAGAAATTAAGGGAAACGAGGGAAAGCCGGGAAAACTGGCAGGAATAGGGGATTCGGAGGGTTGCTAATTACGTGAACTCGTGAAGGGGGACAAACCATTTTCTGCGCGAACACAAAGACCCTTATATTAATACGCGGGAGAGAAAGGGGACGGGGAAGTTTCGGTATCTTCTGCAATTTGATATTTCTCCTTGGTAGTTTCGTTTGGTCAAAATATTTCATTGATCAAAATAGTTGCATGTGTTTAAATAGTTTTGTCCATGGGTTTAATATGTTATAACATGTTATATACGTTGGTATAATATGGTTTGAGTGATGAATTGATTTCTTTGCAGGTAAACTTTGGATAGGCGATAACGAGGTCGCGTGGCGAACGGAACAATCTTTCAAGAGGACGTCTCCCTTAAATCCCTGCACCACGACCACTACCACGACGACGACAGGTGGTGGAGCACCGGTACACCCCCACCTGTCGCCACCCATAGCCGCCCCTGTCACCACCCCCGACCATAGGAGCCCTAGCAGCCTCCACGTGAAACTTGGTATTTCTCCTAGTGAGTACAAACTTTAAATTATTTTTCAAACTTTAATATCATCGGTCAACCTGGAAATCTGCCCTCGAGGTCTATAATCTTAACTCGATAAAAAGCGTCCGAGTATTCAACTCCTCAGCCGAGATTTTTCAGAACACAAGGTTTACAAACTTTGTAATTTTAATCGAGTTAACAAATTTTTATATGAAAATTGTGATCGAGTAAATCTGAATCTATGCTTCTAAATTCCCATCGCGTTCGAAAGTAAGTTCGGTTCAAGAACGGTGCCAAAAGTCCAAGAAATCGAAGGGTCGGCGGCTTAAAGCGGCCTTAAAGCGAGGCTCTTTAAATAATGCAATAAGCTTGATGTCATTTGCCGGACAATGGGGGGAGTTCCTTTTAGGGAAAGGTCCAGCGAAATTGCCCCTCGCAGGTGCTTGCTTCCGACCCTCCACGAAACGTGCTCCCACCAATCACGATTCTTCTTTTCTTCGGGCTCCAGACGGTTTTTTATCGACGATAACAATTATCAAAAGAATATGCTTTATACAACTTGCGAACGCCAAAAGATTACTGGGTAACAGAAAATTTCAAACCTTTTATGCAATTCTGGTAATTTACCACGTATTGGTACAACATTGTGGTAAAGTAATAGTGGTGTATGAGTGGCGATACAATTTGTGCGTGGTGAAAATTGATTATATAGTGCGTGGTGATATAACACGTGAGTTGTTTATTGCGTAAAATGTGTGTAATGTTATGTTTAATAATCATACTATAATTATTAACAGGCTATGTGTAGTAATTTAACGGGTGACTATGCAACGCGTAGTAATCTAACGCGTATCGTTGTAACACGTAGTAATTTGACGCGTAACTATGCAACGGGTGGTAGTGTAACGCGTAGTTGTGCAATGAGTGATTATTCAACGCGTAGAAATTTAACACATGGTAATCCAACGCGTAACTATGCAACGAGTGACTATCCAACGCGTAGTAATCTAACGCGTGGTAATCCAACGCGTAACTATGCAACGAGTGACTATCCAACGTGTAGTAATCTAACGCGTGGTACTCTAACGCGTACTTATGCAACGCGTGGCAATCCAACGCGTAAGTATGCAATGAGTGACTATCCAACGCATAGTAATCTAACGCGTAGTTATGCAACGTGTGGTAACCTAACGCGTAGTTATACAACGCGCGGTAATCTAGCGCGTAACTATGCAACGTGTAGTAATCTAACGCGTGGTAATTCAACGCGTAGTAATCTAACGCGTGGTAATCTAACGCGTAGTAATTTAACGCGAAGTTATGCAACGCGTAACTATGCAACGAGTGACTATGCAACGCGTAGTAATCTAACGCGTGGTACTCTAATGCGTATAACCTTCTTCCCACGACCAGCACTACTTGTATACACCCTATAGAATCAGTAATATAAGTATTATAGTAATAAATAGAGACGCCCCAGAAAAGTTTTAAAGAAACAGTGACAGTAACCCGTGTACAATCGTCCCATCTGAATTGGCACGTGAAATAATTCGCTCGAGTTGGCCAAATAAACGGAATTTAAATACCTGAGAGGAAAAGAGGGTAATCCCGTGAAGAAGAACGATAGTCCCAAGGGAGAGATACATTGGAGAACGGCAAGAAAGGATCCTTCCGTAAACGGACAGCGTAATTTACACGCGACGAGAGTACGTTACACAGTTCACTGACTTCAAAGATTACTTTTTAACAGCCGTTCGTCCGCTCGCGATTCGTCTTCTTTCCTCGACCGACTTCCTTTGACGCGTGGCTATGTTGTTTTTATTAGGTGCTCGGTTGGTTAAACAACGAACGATGACGATGTTTTGCGTTAATTGAAGTCGTTATTTGCCGGACGAGGAAAACGTTTGTTAATTCTTTGTTGAACACGTTATATTGGCACGTATGAGGTTGTGTATTAGATTATTACCGTGTGTTTATTACATGTTATCTCCGCTACTATAACTTCTTGATATCCTGTATTTACCTCGTACCTGCAAATACATTTGACCCTTGACACTTTTTTAATTAGTTCAGTGATTTATGTTCTTTTCGTTGGTCCATTTAAGGGACAGAGGTGAAAGGATCATTTCGACACATGTCCTAGGAGCAGTCGCTACGTTTTAGGGTGCTATCCCTCGTTCTTCAAAAACCGAGTGCATATGTCGGCCGAAGAAACATAATGTTATCAAGCTGTCCAGCCAGAGAGGCGGTCGTCGGACAAGGATGAAACCCTTAGGGAACCTCGTCCACTTCGTCCTTATTGATATACCGAATAAACACACTTGGCAGCTAGGCGGGATAGCTTTGCGAGGCAAATAGATTCCGAGGATCCTGTGTCTTAAAGTGGACCTTATCGTATTCTTTCGACATTATTTTTTCCATTTTCTAATCAATTTAATCTATTATCTCAACTGTTAACTTTCTTGTGGTATACTCGAACAGGGTAATATCTTGATAATTCACTGCCTTCGGGGCTCTGAAGATAGGAGACTTGAAGGAACATATCAAGTATCATGAAATGATCAACTATCCTACGAGTACTACAGTCGTCCAAAACAGCAACCCTTAAAGAGCACTTGAACCCTCAGAAGAATGTGCAAAACGCTACATTCTTAGAAACAACGTCTCGCGTTACAATCGTGTTGCTTTCAACTTTCGACCCCTATCGATCGGCACCCTTATCGAGCCTTAGCGCACCTTGTCCAGCGGCGACGGTAAATAAAGATGGCTGGTTTTCCCATCAACGTGCACACACGCACCCACATGATAGTACCCATACGCGCATGTGTACGTGTGTGTGCGCTGGTCAGACGGTTTTAAATTCCGCGAGTCAAAGCGATGTTTGACATGGAAATGTTGAACGATGCATTAAACATGCCGCGCGGACTGCTTCCTCTCGTTTCCACGGAAAGAGGAAGAGGAATCAGTTTGCTGCCTCTCTTTTCCCTTCGATCGTATTGCCGGTCGAAAGAGGCCCGGATCGGGCCCCCACGCTATTGTTCGAGCAATGTTTATTTAAGCAAACGAAAGAGCCACCGTTCCACGCGGCTGAGTCCACCTTCCTAGACCTTCGAGAAGCGGCTTCCGGTTCGGATCGATAGCGGCCCGATGCCGCACTCTGCGCAACGCTTTTATAACTACTCTTTCCATCAAAATTTTTCTTTCAGATGGTTTCAATTTTGTGGCAAAATGCTGGGTGAAACTTTTAGTCGAGTGGTATATTGCCGTGGGATATATTGCCACGAGTTGCGAGTTAAATGGGTTGCGAAGTCACACGTTAGATTACCACGCGTTGCTTAACTACGCGTTAGATTACCACGCGTTAGATTACTACGCGTTGGATTACTACGCGTTAGATTATTACACGTTGCATAGTTACGCGTTAGATTACCACGCGTTGTATAACTACGCGTTAGGTTACCACGCGTTGCATAACTACGCGTTAGGTTACCACGCGTTGGATAACTACGCGTTACGTAGTCACTCATTGCATAGTTACGCGTTAGATTATTACGCGTTAGATTACTACACGTTGCATAGTTACGCGTTGGATTACCACGCGTTGCATAAGTAGGCGTTAGAGTACCGCGCGTTAGATTACTACGCGTCGCATAGTCACTCGTTGCATAGTTACGCGTTAGATTACCACGCGTTAGATTTCTACGCATTGCATAATCACTCATTGCATAGTTACGCGTTAGTGACGTGTTGTGAACTACGAGCTATACAAAAATGAGTGTTGAACTACTCATTACTTTACTACTTATATTGCTTACATCACTATTAGTAACATTTCTGACACAGTACTTCAAGATTTAATTTCCAAAAAACTATAGAAACCTGAACCACCAACTCTCCATACAACGTCGCATCCCTGTCTTCGCATCTTGCCAAACAAATTAATTCCCACAGTCATTGTTCAAAGTCCGGTTCCGATGAATTTCCTCCATTTTGTCGCGTACTTTGAAATATCGAGGAACGTCCATATGCGAGCCAATAACCGGGAATGCGCGTAGCTGGTGTACGAACGTTTCATATACGGCAAAGGGGACGCGTACGGGGGCGAGAAAGGGTGGCTCGTGAAATATTGGCTACATAGATTTCGACCATTATTGCCGTGTGTAAAACACGGCGACATTTGGCGCTAAATCGATCAGGCTGCTGCATCGAGGGACTGATCGTTTATAGACTTCGAGAACACGTTGCGAACGATTAAGTCCTTTTTTGAAACGTCTTTCGGAGTCTTCCTTCTTCCATCAACTTATAGGTCTATTTTGTCCAGGCTATTGTCAAAGGAATTTGGATGAACAATCTTCTCGTGGTGTTAATTCAATGAACTGTATAATAATCGATCAGGAACCTTGTACAGTTTCGAGGAGACTCAAAGGGTGTCATGACGCAAAGGGTGCGTCATGTACACTTAGAGCAGTGATCGATTTTACTCTTTTTTAATACGTTTTCATATTGTAGCTGTGGTGATATTAGATCGGTTAACAGATGAATGCAGTGAGCAACGAAGAATTTCTTAAAGAAAATTTCCTTACTGCCGTGATTAATTTGACCGCCATTAATCGCATAAGTCGTCCGTCATTAATCGCGGAGGTATATGCGTAAGGGTTAAACTTATTTCGAAGCATGTCCTGCGTAGGCAAAGGTTCGTTAGAAAGGTACTGCAGCGATCAAACGGTGTAAATGGTCGTCGCGGGAAGCGAATGTATTTATGGAAGGCCGTGTGGCCACGGCCTAAGAATAACAACGATAAAGTATTCTCACCATGAATATTTCGTATCTTCTATGGGGATCTCCCGGCTCGAACGTCGTTCAAATTGAATTCTGATTTAACTGGCCGCGTCTTGCCAACACAGAAATATCCCTCTCGCTGTTGGCTCCGAGAAGAAGGCCTACGCGGTTCCTCTACGTAGGAATTTCCAACCAGCATCGAAAGGAAAGATCTACGCGTCGAGTTTCGCAGTTTCCCCGCTGGCCTT